ATAGGATGAATGCAAACCCAGTGTTTCCAAACTGTCACTCAATTCACAATAAAAGCTGGGGGTGGGGGGTGGAATATATATATATATCTATATATTTACACATAAAGGATTTTCACTTCCCAAAAGATGGGTTTGCTGTTGGGTTACGTGGCGTTGGTTCCGACTCATGGAGACTCTATACACAATAGAATGAGACATTGCCTGGTGCTGTGCCCTCCTCACAAATGTTGTTATGTTTGTGCCCATTGTTACTACCACTGGGCTAATACAGCTCATTGGGGCCTTCCTCTTTTTTGCTGACTCTCCACTGAAATGGCTGTTTGCAGGCATTTCTTCTCATTTTATTGGTGTCTCATCACCAAATGAAGGTCCCAGAAGCTTTGCTCTATCCACATCATTAAGGTCCACTCTACTTTGTGGCGGCAGCTCTTCGTCAGTTATATTTTGAGTGCCTTCCTATAGGAGGGACTCATCCTCTGGCCCTGTATGAGACAACATTCTGGTGCTATTCATAGCGTTTTCAGTGACTAAACATTTAGAAGCAGTGTGCCTCTCCTTCTGCCTTAATCTGGAAGCTCTGCTGAAACCTTCCACCATGGGTGACTCTGCTGGGATTTAAAAATAGCTTCTAGCATCACAGCAACATGCAAATCACCACAGTATGACAAATCACCAAAGGATGGGTGGAGAAATGATGAGTAGGCATGGAGGCATGCCTTTTTTTTCCCCTAATTCTTCCTACTAATTATAACTAAAACCTTGGGCAGTATATAGAGAAGAAACACAAGAAAACCCTGAAAAGTGAAGAGAAGTCAGACCAATTAAGAACATCAAGACCCAAGGAACGACACGGTGGTGCGTCACCTTTTTGCCTCATATATCCCAGAATGCCTGCTGCTGGAATTTTATTTGCTGTTTTAATATTGAGCCTAGGGTTTTTTTTTTCATTTATTTTGCCCATCTGTTCAAGTAGTGCTTCCTGAATTCTTCTGAAAGCCCCCCTGCTCCCCAGGTTCTCGTTGCTTTCATCTGCACCTTTCTTTGTCTTTCTCTCAATACATTGAAGGTACCTAAATATCAGTCTTTTGAATTATGTATTAGGTCATTGGAATACATTGTCTTCCTCAGAAATTTTTTCTGGCTCTGTATTTTGGTCAATTGTTTGAGCCACTCTCTTGTTTCTTCATTTGTTGCTGTTATTAGGTGTCATCAAGCCGGTATTGACTCACAGAGACCATTTGCACAATAGAACAAAACACTGTCAGGTCCTGCACCAACCTCGCAATATTTGCTACACTTGAGGACATTCTTGCTGTCACTGTGAGAATCTATTTCATTATAGGTCTTCCTCTTTTTCACTGTCTGTCCACTTTACCAAACAAGGACTTGTAACTCCTGATAATATATCCGAAGTATAGGAGATGAACTCTGGCCATCCTGGCTTCCGAGGAGCATTCTGGCTGTACTTCTACCTAACACATATTTGTTTGTTCTTTTGACAGTCCATGGTACTTTTGATACTCTTCTCCATATGCATCAATTCTTCTACAGTCTTCCTCATTCACTGTCTAACTCTCACAAGCATATGAAGTTACTGAAAACATCATGGCTTGGGTCAGGTGCACCTTGGTCCTCAAAAAAGAAAGATGTCAATCTTTGCTCTTGAACATTTTAAAGAGATCTTGTGCAGCAGATTTGCTTAATGCGATCCCTCATTTGATTTCTTTATTGCTGCATCCATAAGTGTAAACATGGTTGATCTGAGCAAAATGAAGTTTTGACAAATTCAATCAC